CTAATTCGTACCTCTATCGCTAGTAATAGTACGAGGAAGTCCGTAATACCTAACCTAGTATTTTAGGAATAAAACCGCGCATTCCTCTACTTTTATAGAGGGAGTACCGATAAGGGCGATCTATTTGCTTAGGCGGTCTTTAATTACCTATAGATACCGGTTCCTATCTAACTCCGGTAGGTTAGTTATAAAGTCTATCGAGATTTCCTAGAAGAAACGGTCGGGTACTAGTAGGGGTTTTAGGAGGCCGTATTTGTGTTCCCTCTATACCTTATTACGTCTATAATAGTTGTAGTTCCGTAGGAATTGCCGTACCTACTTCGACTATAGCGGCTAGTAAAAGTCGCGACCTAGTATAGAAGCAGTAGAATCCCGGCTAGGATAGCCGTAGAGCGGCGAGTCGTAGATCGACTAGATAATCTTCGTACGTAGTATATCCTACTACAGTTCCTCGGCCCCTATGTCTTTGTATTCGGTTTCCGTCGTTGCTAGGGCTCCTAGAACCTAGAGCTTACCGCGGTAGCGAAGGAACCCCTTAGGATCTATTATATAATCCCTAATCTAAATTTTTGCTTTAATTTCCGGTTGCAATGTTCTACCTCTCTTACGGATTTTTCGTACTACCGTCTAGTATACCGTATCTTTCTCGATAATGCTCTTCTATATATCGTTTATCTCTAGGTCCTAGAATGGTTTAGCGCTTTCCGGTAAAGGCTACGCGGGCTCCGTTTCGTTCGCGAGTAGAGACAACGGGCTCGCCTTCGTTATACGCGGGAAGCTACGGATAGTAGTACTAGAAATCTAGACGTTTTCCGGCTAGTTTAGAGAGAGGTCCGGCTCTAAGAATCTCCGGAACCTCGAAAGCTTATTGTCTTAGCCTAACGTATCTTATTCCCTCCTCGATAAGGTATCCGGTAGGATAGCTTCGATTCCCGGCCGGTAGACTAGAGTAAACTAGTGCTTCGCTAGTTCTTCTTACTATCGAATCTGTCTTTCGGATAGTTAGCGCTTTACTATAAAGTATTCTAGGTTCTTATAGTCCGTCTAAATCGTAAAGGGGCTATATAATTTCAGCTCGGAGTCCTAAAACTTAATACTAGATACGACTGCGAGCATTTCCTTATCGTAGATATCGTAATTAATCTCCGCCTTATTTAGTTTCTTCGAAAAGAAGCCTACCGGTCGGCGGATTCCCGCCTTTTCTTAGATAAGGGCGCCTCTAATCGCGAACCCGCTATAATCCGTCTTAAGGAAGGTAGGGAGGGACGGGTCCTACTAGGTAAGTACCGGGGCGCGGTAGAATTTGTCCTTTAGCGTCTCGAACGCTTTGTCCTATTCTTCTCCCTAGGCAAACGGGGTTCCCTTACCGGTAAGCGCAGTTAACGGCGCGGAGATCTTAGAATAGTTCGGTACGAATATACGGTAGTAGTTCGTAAATCCTAAGAAACGATAAACTTCCTTTTAGGTCTTAGGTACTACCTATTTTTATATAGCTTCTACCTTTTCGGGGTCGGCTAATATTCCTCCTCCGTCGGTATAGACGATAAATCCTAGGTACTTAATCTTTTTCTAGGCGAATTCGCTCTTTTTAATATCGAGGTAAAGGCCTCCGTCCTAAAGCTTCTTAAGTACCGCTCTTACTTTACGGAAATAGTCTTCCCTCGACCCGCTCGAGTAGATAACTACGTCGTCTATATACGCCGACGCGAAGTCGTCTAGATACTCTTATAAAAGAGTATTAATATACCGTTAAAATATAGCTAGGGCTCCGGACAAACTAAACGGGTATACTAGCTATTCGAACGAGCCTAGCCTCGTCCGGAAGGCCGTTTTATACTCGTATCCTTTTGCTATTCTAATCTTATAAAAGGCCGAGACTACGTTAACCTTAGTTAACTACTAGGCCTCCGTTAGGTTCCTTATAGTGTCCGGGATTAGTAGGAGGGAGTATCTATCTTGCTTCGTTAGAGCGTTAAGCGCCCTATAGTCGTAGTAGAACCGTAGTCCTCCCCCGGGCTTCTTAACGAATAGTACGGGCGCTACTGCTTCGGAGTTCGCCGGTCTTATAAACCCCTTCTTTAAGAGCTCGTCTAGCGACTTCCGCAAGACTAAGAGTTCTTATTTCGATATACTATAAAGCGGACCCTAAGGGAGTTAAGGCTAGGATCCGTCTAGTTTCTCCTAGAGTTCTATCGTATAGTCGATACTAGAGCGATAGGGCGCTAACTTATCGGCTTCCTTTTAATAAAATAGCGCGGCTATATCGCGAACCTCCGGGGGTAGCTTCTTCTTTAGCTCCTCGATCGTCGGGTATTCCTTCGTCTTTAGGGCCTTTTTAATATCCTTAGTAATTGTCGCGGCAAGCAGGCTTCTTACGGCGTTAATCGTAGCGATATTCCTATTCGTATCGACCTTGCGGTAATAGCGCCCTTCTTTAATCTAATACCGAGCCCTCCCGTAGTAGTACTATCGTTTTTTAGGCGCAGTCTAGACCTTATTATATGCCTTCTATAGATTCTCTAGGATAAGGGGAAAAGCTAATCCCGGTACGACGTAAGCGTATACCGTTTATTAGAATCTATTAATTTCTATCTAGAAGGCGACGACTCTTACAATTTTCGCGTCTTATATTGCCGCCGACGCTCCTTTTACTTCTTAGGACTTACGGCTAATATAGCTAAGTCCGAGGCCTTTAGCTAGGCCCGTATTAATTGTAGCGTAATGCTAGCATCCTTCGTCGATAAGAGTAGAAGTTCCGACGTTATTTTCGAGGACTATATCGGTATATATAAGATTCCCGTTTATATCCTTTTTAACTTCTTTTTATTTCTTTACCTATACTCTATCTACTCCCGACTCCTAACTACGAGTAGGAGTTACTCTTTTCCCGAGTCGGAACTACTTAAGTCCGACTATTCTTCCGTATTCTCTAGAATAGGTTATATAGAGGCGATACTAATCTTAGTAGGCTAAGCCGGCGGGGCGTACGAGTAATCTCGAATACGGTATCTGCTCGCTCCGTAGCGGAAGTAGAGTCTTTTCTCCTTACGCTTCTCTCTTTCTATAGAGTCGACCTATTTAGCCCTAGGTTTCCCCGCCGTCGACTATTAGGCTCTACGGTTCTTTCTATAGGAAGCGTTAGTTCAAGCGGGATTTATAACTACGTCTCTATTAGAGTCGACCTTCGGGTTCGCCGTAGGGGCCGTATAGGGGGGAATAACGACCGTAGGACTCGCTACTTCTTTCTTCCTTTCTTGCTAGCGTTTCGTAGCCTATTTAAACTAATCTGTCGACTCGAGGTTCGTTATAATCCGCTCGACCTCCTCTATATAGAGGTAGTAATCCTTAATCTTTAGTATAGCGGTAGTATAAGTCTTAGCCGCGTTCGAGAAGGTATTCTTTAAATAACTGATTTTCGTATCGTTTATCTAACGGTCTCCGCCTACGCTTAGTAGGAGGCCGTCGAATTCTAGCTAGTAGTCGTACTAAGGTTGTCTCTAGGAGTGCCTTAAGGCTTAGAGTTGCTTTAGCGCCTTTATAGCTTCGTTACTATCCGCGAAAACGTCCTCGAGTTGCTAGAAGAAAGCTTTAGGGTCCTTTCCTTTCGTAAGGCTTCCTCTTTTCTAGAAGTAGCGTATCCTAGCGCGTTCCTTTACCGGTAGGGTATCGTATACGGTATCCTAGTAGTAATCTTCGGAGAGCTTTAGTTTTAGCCCGAAACGAACTCGGTACGAACTTCGGAACTTCTTAGTCGTAGTAGGTAGTCCCGGAACGACTCGGCTTTCCTATCCTACAATAGCAGTTTCTACTCGTAGGATGCCGTTACGTTTTAGCCGGAAGCCGAGAGAGTTTCTAGTAGTCCCTTTAGGATCTCGTTCGTAGACTAGTCTCGTACTAAACTAGCTTCGGGAGGCCCGGGCTAGCGAGACGCTTCCGCGTATTAGAGCGCGGAACGAGTAGCTTATAGCTAGGCTTCTATCGTCTACTATCTAGTATAGAGACTCTCGAAGGTACGACAAATCTCGTCCCTAGTTATCTCTAGTACGGTAGGGATAGCGTTCCCCTAGCTATCTTACTCGGGTTCCTAATAAACCTTAGCGTTTCCTATATTAAAGATCGAACCTAATATTACGGGTAAGCAACGCGTACGCAGATACTAGATATAAGACTTAATAGGTTCGATAAAGAGCTAAGTCTATCTACGTAAATCCGAATAGTTTTATATAGTACGCTAAGCGCTAAGCAGTAGGTTAGAGTCGCGTAGGCCGAATGCCTAAGGCTAGCGCTTTCTACCTAGGGCGTAGCCCTTTATAATATACCTCTACCGATACTACCGGTACTAAATAGATAGTAATACGCGCCTCCGAGCGCGATATAAGTCTATAGTAGTATGCCTTATATACCGCCGCCCTCTAATATATATTAACGCTATTAAAATGGCCGTAATCGCTAACTATACCTCGAATTTTGCTATACCGCTATTTTGCTAATAAACTTTAGCTTTATTTTTAGTAATATAACTAGTATCTACTAGTAGAGAATACGGGGTCGTTAAATACTATAAAAATAGTGCGAAATCTATTAAATTGCGACCGTACGACCTCTTACTATCGATATTTAGTATACTAGCGGAAATCGTACTACTACTACTACTACCCTAACCTATCGACCTAGTAACCGCAACGTATAGAGATATCGATATTACGTTTTCTATAGTTATATATACTACGGAGCGGACTTCGATATCTTACCGAGTCCGCTACGGCAGGCTAACCCTATTCTTGGAAGGACTAGGCGCTCGGACGCTGGTATAGGACTTTATACGGGCCCTCGTTGTCCTGCCTATAATTTTAACTTCGAGCCGACGAGCCGCACAATGACATCAGGGTTGAAGCTGGGGTAGGAGCTCGGCTATCAATAGCTTGTACCACAGTACCACCATGTTTCCTGGCAAGCTTCGCAGCTTTAACAGAACACTTTCACAAGCTGAAGGCGAGGAGCCGCGTTCAATTGCAGAAGAGAGATCGGAAGGTGAGTTTCGATGCCTGCCAATTTCATCCGCCGAAGCATCAGTCCCGGGCGGATTTAGGCGAGCGTCAGCCGGAAATAAGCAACAACAATGCCCGAGAATTGATCGCAACCAAGACAAGATCCAGGAGCTTTGGCTGATAACAATACTGTAGAGCAGACATAATGCAGTCGTTCTTCCCTTCCGCGAGCGCCCTGAGCGCGACGTTCGGATACGCCTCTCCTATCAAGCTCAATCGCCAACCTCAATCACAGCGCAAGGAGATCTCTCACCTATACAGCAGCTGGGACGCGGCTGAAGATGCGAAACAAAAGGTGACAAAGTTGAGCGATGCTGCGGTCGCAGAGCTCAACAAGGCCTCTCAAATCGCGCAAGAGAAGACTGGAAAGATTGAGCTGTACTCTGGGAAGTACTATGCTGCTTGGTGAGCATGCACATATGCCCGAGCCAGCGCAAAGCTGGAGCTGATGCGATAAAGCACATTCGGAGGTCTGATGGCCTGCGGTATCACCCATTGGGGTGTCACACCCCTTGATCTTGTCAAATGTCGTCGACAAGTCGACAGCAAGCTTTACAAGAGCAACATCGAGGGCTGGAGCAAGATAATGGCCAGTGAAGGCCGGACGGCGCTCTACACCGGTGGCTCTCCCACGTTCTTCGGATACTCGGTCCAAGGTGCTCTGAAATATGGTTGCTACGAGTTCTTCAAGAAGTTCTATTCCGACCTTGCTGGCGAGGAGAATGCTACCCGTTACAAGACCTGGATTTACCTCGCCGGTTCTGCTTCTGCTGAGTTCTTTGCCGATATTGGTCTGTGTCCCTTTGAGGCTGTAAAGGTCAGAATGCAAACTACCATGCCGCCATTCGCAAAGGGAACATTCGATGGTATCTCCAAGATCATGGCTGAGGAAGGTGTTAGCGGGTAAGTTCAGAATAGCTAAACCAAAATGCCCCGGACGTGGCTGACCAGAGTAGACTGTACAAGGGTATAACTCCTCTTTGGGGCAGACAGATACCTTACACCATGATGAAGTTCGCTTCGTTCGAAACGATAGTCGAAATGATCTACCACCGCCTCCCTGGAACCAAGGATGATTACTCTAAGGCTGCCCAGACCGGTGTCGCATTCTCTGGTGGTTATCTCGCTGGTATCCTCTGCGCCATCATCTCTCACCCTGCCGATGTCATGGTCAGCAAGCTCAACACCAACCGACAAAAGGGAGAGTCGTTCGGTGGCGCAACCAGCAGAATCTACAGGGATATTGGATTTGGCGGTCTCTGGAGTGGTCTTCCGGTCCGGTGAGTACTAGCCTCAGTGACTTGGCTATTGAAGTGCGCCTGTTGCTAATCAATTCTCCAGTATTGTCATGATTGGCACTCTCACCGGTCTCCAATGGATGATTTACGACTCCTTCAAGATCTTCATGGGTCTGCCAACAACTGGCAGCGGAGGGCAGAAGGCGGAAGAGAAGAAGTAAATGAAGTCTGTGACCACCAGATATTTTGGAGCCCTTTGTGGCCAGCTTTGACTTTGCTTAACTCCAGGGAACTAGACCGCCACAGAAGGCTTCGAGGAGTGCTTCTTCGGGTCGTTTATAGTGTTATCTGGTGATGAATGGCATGATATACTCAACTCAGACTGACCTGTGCCCAAATGGCCCGACGTACAATCATCGTCCCCAAAGAGCTCAATCCTTCACTCATCCTTGCGCAGAGCTGCAGGAGAACACTGTACCTGCTTGGTGATGATTGCAAGGACATAACAAAATTTCACATCCTGGCTATCAACCACGAACCAGCGGCGGAAGCAATAGGTGGAGTTGATTGGCGGCGAGCTTGGACCTTATCTCTGATTTCTTGGCATGACATAGTTCTAGCGCTTTTTTCGACATCATTCTTTGCTCTCACGAGTGAGTGTCTTTCCGTTTAACCCAAGAAATGTCAAAGGCCGAGAAGGCGTCGTGCTTGACCACTTACAAGATGTTCAACTCGCTTATAGCGTCATGGTCCGGTTCCCGCCGTACGACCTGAACCGAGCAGGATCCCTGGTTGAGAAGCTACCAGCGACCAGGTGAAGAAGTCATGCTCTCCATATTCTCAGCTTCCTTTCTTTCAGAGTTTATATTTACTGCAGCTTGAGAGGATACTTTGGTTGAAAGAACAGGAAAACGCGAATATGCCTTCTAGAGAGCCTGTGCATTCGACTGGTCGCGGTAGTGAGTCTCGCGAAAGCTCTTAGAGCTTGCTGGGAGCTTTCCCACTGACAAGACCTCAGGCGCCGGCAATATCGGCGTTGACAGCAATACGTACGTTGACGGGGATATTGTCCGTGAGGGTACTCCGGGTGTCTCAGCAAATGACTACAGCGCTGGACGTGGTGGAGCAGGTACGCGAAAATTCCTATTTCCAGCTCACCTCGATATGTGCTCATACTGCTCAAAGGCAACATAATTCACCCCACAGAGAGCGGGAAAGCAGGAAAGCCTTCCGAAGAAGTCGTCCCGGAATCTGCGACTCGCGTGCCAGGCGAAGGTTACCAGAACTTCCATACCGGACGCGGTGGGGAGGGCAATGTGCACAAGGACAAGTATGGAGGACATAGCTCTGCGAAAGAACAGGCGGCTGCCGATGGTCATAAGGAGGGACTTCTGGAGAAGGTGAAACATGCGATTGGTTTGGATCACAAGAAGGAGAAGACGCCTGAGCCGAAGTAAGGCAGTGCGTTTTGAAGCCACGGAAGGATGCGCAGCGGAGAACGACATGCGATGAGATGCGTGCGAGGTACTTTCTCTCCAATTCTGGCCTGATCTTTCCCATCTGGGACTGAGTTTAGGCCTCTGGGGAAAGAGGGAACAGCTTGTCTTCTTCCACTCGAAGGTGCTCGGAGTGCTCGCAAGGACTCTTGTACTTCTCGGCGTGAGCCTCATCAACAACTCAAACATCGACTCACATCTAGAAAAGGACAGGAATGCAGTCTTTATATTCCAAGCCAAAACCACTGCTTCTCGGACGAGCGAATCTTGTGTGCATTCTCATGCCGTACCGGGAAAGCAAAGCATTGCCTCGAAATCTTTCGATTCAATGTGCATCATTACAGCATGATACGATTTCCGGTTTTTGACCTTGCAGGATTCACCTCTTCTATCTAAAACTCACATTCTCGACTCGAAAGCTGGTAGATTAATACGCAATAGAGAGACCAGATCCTCGTCCTCCAATCTCGAAAATGGTCCCAACAGTATTACTAGGTACTTTCTCACAATGCGACCGGATACCACTACCGATTCCAGGAAGACAACGGCGGCAGCACTTTCCGAAACCTGGAGTCTGTCTGCAGATCTGTAGATGAATCTGGGGAAGGCGCATGCGAAGCGTGGTGTCACAGGATAGAGCTTGATTGGTCTTGTCCTGATCCTTCAGAAGCTTGACCGTCTTTGCCTCACGTGTGGTAACGCTAATGCAACGCAGAAACACTGTTCGTATCTCCTCTCCTCTCAGCTCTGGACTTCGCGTAATGTAACGACTATGGCCCACTTTATATGTAACGTAAGATACAAGAACACATCGTGTCTGTTCTCCCCATACTTGATTCTCGCCTTATGATTACCGTCGTTATGAGGAATGGCAACTCAGACTGATCCGTGGCAGGGTGAGAGAGGAGACGAATATCCTCGTGCTTCCTTCGGAATTGGAATTGGAGAGAAACATCGACTTTCAGCTGCTGGTTCAGGACGAAGACTTTCCTACGGCTATGATCCAGCCGTTGAAATTTCCACGACCAACGACGCAGTCTTCGGAGATGTTTCCCATGGGCCGAATTATCGTGCTGTGGGATGGGCTGGTGCTGTGGTGCTTATGTTGAAAACTCAAATTGGATTGGGGGTGCTTGGGATCCCGCTTGTGTTTGTGAGTTGTGGTGTGGAGGTTTTTGCTGTGTACTGATGGCGTTGTAGGATACGATTGGCATGGTTCCTGGAGTTGTCTGTCTTCTTGCTCTTGCTGTTATGACAACTTGGTCTGATTATATTGTTGGTGTTTTCAAGATCAATCATCCAGAGGTGTACGGTATTGATGATGTTGGAGGTTTGATTGCTGGTCGAGCTGGCTATATCATTATGGGTACCGTGTTCTGCTTGTGTGAGTTCTTCGTGGGCGTCAAACGCTGGAGATATATGCTGATCGACTACAGTCTGGATCTTCGTTGCTGGGTCGGCAATGGTCAGCATCTCAATCGCTCTAAACGCTTTATCGCTCCATGGAGCTTGTACGGCCATCTTCGTTGCTGTTGCAGCAACCATCGGCTTCCTCGTTTCGAGCATTCAGACTCTCCACAAGATTTCTTGGATTGCCTGGGTCGGTGTTGTTGGCATCATCTCCTCAAGTATGTATTGTGCTCCTCCTGTCACAAGACTTATTATACTCATAACCCTAGTCCTCGTCCTCACAATTGCTGTTGGTCTGCAAGACCGTCCTTCCGATGCACCACTGACGGGAATTTTCGTCTCCGACTACAAGATCACGGCCAATCCATCTCCAGCCAGCGCCTTCCAGGCCCTTTCGACGCTAGTGTTTGCTTTTGCTGGCACGCCCGCATTCTTTTCCATAGTCTCCGAGATGCGTGAGCCACGCCAATATCGGCGATCAATGTTCATCTGCCAAGGCATCGTGACATCTCTCTACCTTGCTATCGGCATCGTGGTATACTACTTCTGCGGGTCCTACGTCGCTTCGCCAGCTCTTGGCTCGGCCGGACAACTGTTCAAGAGGATCTGCTATGGTCTTGCTCTTCCAGGTTTGCTTGCGTCCATGATCTTACTGAGTCACGTCCCGGCCAAGTACATTTTCATCCGAGTACTAAAGGGCACCAGGCATCTGAGCAGCAACACTCCTACTCATTGGATCGTATGGTTGTCCTGTACTGCTGGAATCGCACTGATCTCTTACATCTTGGCCGAAGCTATTCCGGTCTTTGGAGAGCTGGTGTCCTTCGCCGGGGCTGCATTTGGAACGTTGCTCTGCCTTCAGCCAATGGGTGCTATGTGGCTTTATGACAACTGGGGCAGGTCTGATCGTGGCATCAAGTGGAAGTTGATGGTCGCTTGGTCGATTTTCATCATCGTTGGAGGTACTTTTTTGACAATTGCAGGCACGTACGGATCCATTGTCGGCATCATCGATGCGCTTGATGCAGGTTCAAAGACGAGCCCGTGGTCTTGCGCTGATAACTCGAATTCGAGCTAGTGCTGGTCACGGAAGTCTTGTCAGTATCGCAGAACAGCGCACGAGAGGCGTAGCTATCTGATGAATGCACTGAAAAATAGCTTGTCCTGCTCAAGAGAACCTGGTCTGTGATGATTTCATTCTCTAGTTAATTGGTTGCACGGCCACGAACACGTTTTTTGAATAACCCTTATTCAATCAAGTCATGTTGAGGGCCTGAAACAGCTCTGAAAATGTCTTCCCCGGCCTCCGATCTGAAATCGCATAGTAGCACGCGCGAGGACCCTCTACGGCAGTTATTTCTTCTGGTCGCGCTGAAGTGATAAGCACCGCCCTACTCCTACTTCCGCAGCTGCCCTCTTTTGTTCGCCCACTCACTCGCCATGCTCCTCGCCAAAATCTTTATGTAGCATCCCCAAGAACAACCTAGCGAAGATAGCGTCTCCTAGATCCAACGAGTCCTCCCGGTTTTTGGCAATCGCCTTTTGCCTCGAGTCCTCATAGTCCACCACATCCAGCTCCACCACAACAGCTGGTCTGAAACGATGTTGGAAAAGGGAGTAGAGCTTCAACACACACTTGAACGATTTGGTATCAAGGAATTGCGCGGCGTGACGCATCGACTTGATCTGAGCATTGATGTTCTCCATCGCTGACGGTTCGAGTGGAAAATGCATCCGCTGATGATAAACCACTTCCACGCTGATACGCTTGATGGCTTTGCTGTTGTGGAGGCCGATGGTGTGAGAGAAGCGCTGAAGGACTGAAAAGGCGTCGGTGACCTCGACACTGTCACTTGAGCCTGATCCACCGATGTGGAAAGTGTTGTTCGCGTAGAACATCCTGGTCGCTTCCGAGCGGATCTGGCGACATGTTTGGATAAGTGCAGTGGGGTGACCGATAGAGCACTCGAGGTCACTAGAGGCTGAAGTTCCGGTGACGGTGATGGTGTCCTCGAATGAAAGCGCGAGCTCATATATTTCGTTGCGCAGCTCCGCCGACAGCTTGGCGAGTGGTGAGGAGTCCATCGTCTCTGCGCCGATATCTAAGAGTGGTTGTGGCTGTCTTGCGTAGGTTGTTGAGAGGTGAAAGTCTAGAAGCCGGGGGATGTTAGAAGAATGGTCGGAATGCCAAGCTTCACATGCGGGCCGAATACGATTGCTGCGAAGTGACGTGTCTACAAGTGATTCGTGAGTGCCGTCTTTAAATGACAGCCCAATTCCACTTTCCGTCTCGAATTCGTGTCCTGCCTGGCCTCCACTGAAGGAAAAGCTCCTTTCAAGATTGAATAGCGTCCACCAAAAAGCTTCACTTTACTTCCAACGACTTCAAACCGCGCCGAAAATTCCAACAAAATGGCAAAAAAAGAACTCGCACTCCGAGTCTTTCATAACCATCAAAGCCACCCAGTCCTCTAGAACCGAAGTTCATCTAAGAAGGACCAAATCCAAACGAACCCCACTCCGAAATGTGGTCAAGCAACTCTCAGGGGGACGCGTCCAATTTTGAGCAGTCTGACTTGATTGGCTGCTGCAAATTCTATCAGCTATATGAGTGTTGTTGCAGCTTTATTGCGGCACATCCCGAAGGCAAGAGCGCGGGAGGGAGCATTCGCCAACCCCTATCTCCGTCCTCGCCCCTTCCATCCTGGTTGAACGCGAGTAGCAGAGGCAGGCACGACACGCACCTTCCACCAACGCATACTGCACCTGCTTCCTGCTTCCTGCTCCTTGCGATGAAGACTTCTTCAGCCGCTAATCTAGATCGAGGACAAAGTGATAGTAGATCGTGGAAGGTGGAAGGTGCAAACAAGGAAGTCACATCGCACGCCTGAGAACCAAGCAAAACTCGCAATGCCGCTGAACGAACGAACTTAAGCTCCATCCCTCCTCGTCGCCTCCATCTCACCAACAGGCGGCAACTCCGCAGGCAACTCCGAAAATTGTCTCGGCCAATTCGTCTCCAAATGCAAAGATCGCGGTGTCTGTCCAGTCGAAAGCTCAGAAGGAGGGGCCAATTGCGCCTCAGTCGTCTCCCAAGTATGCGCCTTATGCGGTTCCGATTCTTGCTTATCAAACGGCGCACCATCTGCAGACTTCTCATGAATCTGTTGACCATCAATCTCGCCAGCGCGAGCAGCAGCAGGAACATGCTTGATCTCCGTTGTTGCGTTACCTCCCTCTTGAGCTTGTCGACGTCGTTTTCTTCTGCGCAAGAGCCAAAGCACGACTAGTACGCTGGCCACCACGGCGAGGACTGCCATTACGATGCCGGCGATAGCACCGCCGCTTAGGCCGCCGTCTCTAGAGTCGCTGGCACCAGGCGGTAAGATCCGAACCAGTTCTGGAGTAGAGTTAGAGGGGAACAATGCTTGAGCGACTGTGAAGTTCTGGCGGTCGTAGTCCGCGATGACATATGCTTCTTGCCAGAACACGCGCCCCAAAGTATATTGACTGATGTATTGCGCTCTCTTGATGGGGAAGTACCGTTGTGAGCCATTGACATGAGGATAGCTGACATTCAAATCGAAAGCAGCGTATGGAAGGACGATCGTGGCTGTCTCAGTGCTATTTGCTCCGCCAAGAGTGAAGGTGAAGGTCGGATTCTCGGCGAGAAGATTTGCGTGAGTGGTGTCATTCATGAGGTAGAACTCTGTGGCCTCATCATACTCCAGACCGAAAGCTGCTTCGAAAACATCGCATACTTCAGGAGGCAGCCATATATAGTTGATCATGCTGTTCATATACGCCGTGATGGTGTCGGTAAGCAGATAAGAACTGCTCTGTGTGGTTGTGCCGTTGTACGTGATCGACTGAAGGTTGATCTGCAAATCTTGGGATGGATTGATGGAGAATGGTACCGACACAGAATTGTTCGGGTCAAATCGCATCGAATCGTAGCCGCCGAGCGTGAGGCTGCCGAATACGGGAGCGTCTTTGTAAAATGAACCCGCCGTGTAGGCCCAGGTCGTACTTGGAATCTTCCTACCTTCAGGATCACTAAGCGCACCCATGAGAGTTCTCACAGGGTCGTCAAAGCCCGTCGTGTTCAGCCGAAGCGGACTCAACCCGATCACGCCAACCCAGAAGTCGTTCGAAGCAATTCTAGCCACCAACTGATTTGGGAGAGGAGGCAGGACCCCGTTCGCTGTGCCGAGCGTGACTGTATCCAAGCCGTACGATGCATTGGCATTCAGGCCAAGCATGGACTCAATGACTGGATTGAGGTTGTAGTACGAGCCATTGGAGACTTGTGATGTCAACCATGTCGACGACTCATTTGCGCTGAAGACATCACCTCTTTGCTCTTCACAATTCCATAGGTCTGGGTTCTCTTCGGTGCAGCTTTCTTGCGCGATCGCCCAGATGGCGTTCCCTGCTTGAACAGAAGACCCGGGAAGGAGGTGAAGAAGTTGGCCTTGGGAGGGATCAGTCGTGAATCGTTTCCGTCATTCATAGCCACTCACCCGGCGTGCCCACTTGGACATGAAATGTACTCCATTGACCATCATCGCCCTGCCTGAGAGGTAGTAAGCATCAACTCTGCTAAAACTGACGCTTCCGCATACCATGACCCGCTGGCCGGCACTGAGATAGGCTTCAACGAGCTCGGCGACGTCTCTGCCAAGGAGACTCCGGCCAGTGTCAATATCAACACTGCCCTTTGTGCAAGATGTCTCGCCATAGTCTGTCCCATACATGGCAGAGTTTGAAGTGGAATGTCTGAATTCAGAAGACTAGCTAAGCGCCCATATAGGGCTGATATCTGTCTGGGTTCGATGAGTAGTAGTCGTCATACCACTCGCACTCGCTCGCATGCAATCAGATTTGAGAAACGCAGCTTACACCTCCAGGTCTGATGCAGTGCGACTCGTTGGTTTCAACAGCGGACGGTACGCGAAGCTCATGTGAGCGCTGACATTCCGGCGGTTGGAATCTACCGATCGTGACATGTGAAATTCTTTGGCCTGCAGGCAACGTGGGAAGCTCCTGTCCGCTCTCGCTTCCGTCGGAAAGCAGGATGGCTGACCGAGCCATGCACCAGCATGCGAGCAACCTGCAGGGCGTCCTTTGGGGGTCGACTTTGTGTAACAGTAAGCAGTCACGATTCGTCGGGTCGAACGTACCTATATCCGGAGAGGGGGAAGAGGCTGGTGGTTTCATTTCAATTGCAGGCTATGCCCAGACGCCCACCAACGCCATAAGCATAACACCGGCTACTACAGCGCTACAGGCCTGTAATCGTCTTTTCCCTCGCAGTTCTACATAGCTTGCATCACTAAGGAAATCCTCCGCAAGCAGTTGTACGAGACCGGCGTATAAGAGCAAGCCGCTGCTGATTGCATTCGTTATGCCCACCATAAGGAGTCCAAACTGACTTCGTGGATTATAGAGTCCTTGCACCCCGAGGCCGATAGCCTGGCCAATAGGTGTCGTGATGCCATACATCAAGCTCATCAACCAAGGCTTGTATGAAGTCGTGGAGAAGGACCCGATCGAAGCGATTCGAGCGCCCAAGGCTAGACCTTCGAATGTTTGGTGGAAGCTGATAGCGATCAGGAGTACGACAAATTTGGAGCCCGTGCTGACGGACAGCGCCAATCCGATGAAGACGCTATGGAAGAGAATGCCAGCTTCGAGCATCAGGCATTGAAGCACGAGTCTTTGCTCATGAGGCGTTTGATGTGGTGTATTGCTGTGCTCCGAGACTTGATCTGCCCACGAGACTTTGCGACTGTGCCTCATGGGTCGTGCGTGCCCATTAGCACGACCATTGCCAGACATGACTAAATCCTCTTCGTCGTCGCTCTCATTCCCACGCGTGAGTGGCTGTGTATCGTCAGCGGCTGGATCGAGCTCATCAAGGTCCAAGCCGACGTCGTCGTCTTCTTCTTGCCTCCCAGGACTTGGGGTCCGCGGCAGTGGTTTGTTCAATGCCGGTGACTCGCTCGAACTTGTCGGTGTAGGCGGCGCATCCAGATATGGACTGCGCTGCTCAGTCAGAGCTATATCGCCATCGTCAGCATTTCCCAGGGGAAGTTGCTGGAACCTGTTGAAGCTATGGCTCTTTCTCCCCAGTGCCGGCCGTGTGTCTAAAATATCCGTCTCGCCGGTCCTCAACTGCTCCAAGTCTACATGATGACTGTGGCCTGCGCCTTTTGCCGCGAAGAACATCTCAATGCCCACCACGAGCATGACGCTGACCATGGCAATGAAGCCCGGCATTTCCGGATAGACATGTGTCCAGAATGGTGGCAGACATGGATCTAGCAGTTTCGTATATGCTGTGGGGAGCAGATGCACAAATGCGGTCGCTATCAACACACCTGTCCCGAAGTGTCGACTAACGAACAGCGCATGATTCGGGACTGGCAGTCGCGGGAAGCGGCGGATTATCAGTGGGAAGGAGCAGGCGAGGGTCGAGAGGATAAGGATCTGGAAGAGGGCGCCAAGGTGAAGGCCGAAGTTGTAGTCGCGGTCACTGTTACCGGAGGCGCATGCTGGTCGCTCACCTGCAGCCTGGCGACGCTGCAATTCGGCTTGGAGGACGGCGATGGGCAGATCGGCGAATCTGGCTGCTACTAAGGCATCATCGTGTCAGCAGCGTGAGAGATGGCATAGCATTCATTCACATACGCTCATTGCGCCCATCTTGTGTCATGATCGTGATTGTGCTTTGAGTCGAGTCCCACGACCACCGCGCACCATGTTCAAAGTATTCCTGCTTGTCGGATCGATTGTCTGTGAGTCTGTGAGATTACTTTTACTCCTTTTCGAGCACGAGCGCCCAGATCTCGGATACGTCGGCCCGCGATTGGTGCCGAGCCTCGTGGCTTCTGCAAGGATGAGCTGCCGAACGATCTCACACCCCATCAACTTGGAATACTTTTTTGCACAGAAAGGGATATAACGATTTCCTTCTGAACAACGCTGCTCCTAACGGGATTGTCAAGGCTCAGCGCACATCTGATACACTACCATGGAGGCCAATTCAACCAGAACCTCCAAGTCACCGGCATGCGTCTCTGTAGCTTGCTTCGAAACATCAAATGTACGCATGGTGAGACGCTGCAGCGCGCTTACTTGTATGAAAACTGATCTCAGCACAGCATCTCAGTGACAGTCTCTGCATTGCCGTGCATGAACTTCGAAATTGTACATTGACCACGCTTCGGACGATGTCACGGGTCGAGAGCTTGTAGTAGACGTGGAAGGGGCAAAATGTACGCTCCTGTGCCCATGGCGGTCGGATTGTCAGGCTGAACTTCCACGACGACAGGGCGCACATATTGGCGTCTAGAGGTCGGATGAGAAACTTCCGGAGGCGTAATGGGACGTGGCGGCGATAGCGCCTCAAATGGATTATCCAATTTCCATAGCCCGTCCTCAGCAGCACGCAACTGCTCACGCCCAATAACGCGATGACCCGCTTCTTTGAGCCTCTCTTCATCAAGATTCCTTTGCGTGAATCGTTGTCTGAAGGTCGGATGAGAAACTTCCGGAGGCGTAATAGGACGTAGCGGCGATAGCGCCTCAAATGGATCATCCAATTTCCTTAGCCCGTCCTCAGCAACACGCAACTGCTCACGCTTAATAACGCGATCACCCGCTTCTTTGAGTCTCTCTTCAAGATTCCTTTGCGCGAGTCGTCGTTGGCTAGCGCTCGTTGAATATTCAGAGGATTGATAGAGGCGTGGCGAAACTGGCCATTCTGCTGTATTCGATGGCGATTTTAGTCCTCCAGATCCAGGCGGCTTTGAGACTGCTGCTGATTGCAAGAGATCTTCTGGAGGAAATGGGAGGCTCGGAGGGGTAGATGATTCTCCCAGCATAGCAGTACCTTCAGCTCCCAAGTCGCTAAGCTGAGACATACCAGCGTGGTTCCCGGCGCGACGTTCAGTTGCTGCAATTGATGTAGGTCGATCTTCGTTCACTTCATTGGAAAGTTCGTTTAGATCCTCCTTCAGTGCATTGCCTGAAGGCTTGACCTTGGGCTCAATGGTGTGGGTCATTCCATGATGGAGCCGAGACTTATCGTCCGAATCGGTCATCATCGAATGCAGTATCTGCACGGCTGCGGATTGCCGCACGGCAATGAAATCGAGAGCATGAATATCCTCGCGAGACTTGGAGTTTTCATCCATAATGTGCTGCTGATCCAATGCGGAAGCATCCCGGATTTGAAGCTCTTCGCCGACAGCAGTGGAAGATTCGGTCTGGCGAGACTTACCCTGCTCCGCTGTCGGTCCCATGTAGTCTTTTGGCGGCAATATTGGCATAACTGAAGCCATCGCTAAAGCATCACCAGTACCCTTTCCTTCGAAGCTTCAGCTGTGGCTCTGCTAGCTTCACTGGGACCAGTGTGCTCTTCAGTATCGTATTCAGTTGCTGCGATCGATACCGGTAGATCCTCAGATGAATCACTGGGATTAAGGTGGTGCAGTATTTCCGCTTTTGCTTCATGAGTAGAGTTATAGACACCCTCGTGACGTTTCGTGTTCTCATCCACCGCAGCGTCTTGTTCCTCTATGCAGGATCCCCCAATCGAGATCACATCCGAACCGCTCTCAAGTCCTGTTCCCATCTCATCCGCGCTCTCGTCTTCGTTCTGCCCTTCTTGCTCGTCTTCAAGAAGGTGCGAAGGCAAAGCAAATAGCGCAAGCTGCTCCATGTGTCGACCGACATGTTTGAACCACGAGCTCAAGGTAAGTTCTAGCTTCTGGCAGAGAGGACAAGTCAAAGCTTCACTAAGCGGCATCGGCTCGGCGCAGATCTCTGCTAATCGTTGAAGGTCGGATGCGTCACTCGGCTGCTTATGATCATCGACGAGGTGTGTGATCAGGTCGTCTGCGGTGCTGAACTGTGCGCTGCATCCTACCGAGCATTTCCAGACTCTGAAGTGGTTTCGGCTCATATGGCGTTGCCAGTCTCGGCGTTTTGTGTACTGCATATTAGCAGTAGAACAAGCTTCATGCGTGCAGACGTATGGAGGCACATCTTCGTACACGTGTCGCCTAGCTTCTAAGTGAGCTCGGCTCAGTTCCAAGATCTGGATATACAGACCTCCACCGTTCTTTGTTTGTGAATTGCACAATACTGTTGCAGATCGGGCAATCAAATGGGTCTCCACTAGCACCTTTCTCAGGCAGTCGCGGAGGGCGAAGTACAGACGCATCAGACTCCGTGGGTGCGAAAGACGTCATACTGTAGAAGGACTCTGTATCGTCCGCGTCTTTATTGAGATCGGCCACGTCCAGAGTCGGGGGTTTGACACCCGGTATGGAGGTGGCAACAGTGGTGGTCTGTTCATCCGGAGCTTCGTTCTCCAAACCTTGATGCTTCTTTTTGCCATATATATCTCGATAAATGATGTATTGACGCCTTGACGATATAGCACGACCCAAGCGCTGCGCCAGCCATGCTTGTGCCGATGGATACTTGTTCTGGACATGAGGAATGAACCAAGGATCAAAAGCAGCCGATCTTGGTATGAATGCCCTTCGAACGCGATTGTATCCAGCAGGATTCATGAGGGTTATTGAGAATCTATACAATAGATTCACTAGTTCGTGAATGTCTTGTGTTGAGTCGCCTGCTCCGAAGTCGTCATCCACGAAAGTCAGATTCAACGGTCCAGCTCCGAGACGCGGCTGGTCTCCATGCTCGTGAAGTCTCACGTCGCTATCTTGTCCGTGTCAGAATCTTCGCTGCCTCGATGACTGCCTTGACTTACAATCTTGTAATTCAATGAGAAGATCGCCGAGGAGACTCAAGACCCGAATTCGAAGATTCTCCGAGTCTTTAAGCCTGTATTCAAGGCTACGAGATCCGACCTCTCTGTGAGCAGCCAAGTTTCCAGTCCATACTCTGAATCGACCGTACTCTTCCTCGAGCTTATCGTCTTGCGCATCTCCGAGCAGCGATCGGAATTGTTTCAGACACTGCCTGACTAGTTTTGGGATCTCCATTGTTGAGTGTCAATTACAGCACTACATCGTGGCCCAGACCAGTTGCCTTTCGACTTTGCTCCATTTTGTAAGCGAGTTTTTGGAGCTCGTCGTCTGCCGAGGGAGGAATCTGGCCACCGGACAGCTCAGCGTCCACTCACATGCATACAGCCAATCGCTACACTATCTGCCTTGCGGGTCACCTCTTGGCACGAAGGCAACTCGAATCCTTCAGACACCTTCAGCTTTGGCTTCGTCGTCTGTATGCGAGTCTGTTTCAAATTGTGTCTATACCAGGACTCCAAACAGTCTTTGCTCAGAGGCGGCCTTCTCATCATAAGCTTGGTGAAATGCTATTGCCGTAAATGGTGGCAATTTTCGTCCAGCCCTCTGACAATTTCACGCCGACTCGCTTGCGCCGGATGAGTTTCAAACCTCTTGCCCAGGAAACTCGCTCCTTTACCCGCACGTGGCCAGATTCCAGATCACCAAACTATCGCCGTAGATGTTGTAGCAATGGCAAAGGGCGAATGTGTTCGTCAGGATGTTGAGTGCCGCACCAAGTCAACTATTCGGGCCAACCGCGTCAGTGGAGAAGGTAGAGCGCACTTTGGTAACCATTATGGGGACATCAACATAAGTACGCATCGGATGATATTTTTAAGTGTGGCAGGCTGACCCATACTCAGACGAAGTTCGCCATCATCACTACGGCCAGGCCTTGGATAGAACCGAGAACACAGGGGTTCACGGTGCAGAACTCGCTGGATCAGTTTTGGAGTTGTTTCCTCAGCTAATATCTGGCCTGGGTTACTGGACAGCTGGTATTCTAGAAGTCCCAAACAGTAGGCGTATTCTGAAAGCCTTCCAAAGGATAAAGCGCGCTGTGGAGCTAGAGCATGATATGATCTTCAACCAAGTCCACAATCTGCTGGAAGAGAGCATGGACGATATATCATTAAGGGCGCTCATGCATGAAGCAGGGCAGCAGGATAGATGGGAGGATCCCCTCATCGATGCTTCATTACGGCAGAGACTAGGCAGGTCGTACAGCACATTTTCCAATGCTATGAGTGGTATAGAAGAGGCTCTCGAAGAGCTACGAGAATGTCTCCTTGTTGACGACAATGGCGAGGTCGGTGATTGATTTCCTAAAGTCGATGCTGAATGCTGACTTTGCAGGTTCCCTTTACTCCCGATGAAATTTCGGTGACGGAGGCTTTGGGCAGCCTAAAAATGGGCCTTAAAATGGATTCATATTCCAAGATTGTTGCCGTCATCAAGGAGAAAAATGAGCAGGTCCAGGATCTCGGGGCAATTAGCAGCAACCGAGGATTAGAGCCGATGCATTCGCATATAAGGGCGCCAGATTTCGACGTTGCTCGCTCTTATGCAGCGCGCTTGTTTAGAATCCTCCAGGACAGGTTTACGACTTCTTGCAGCGTTGAACATCGAGCCAGTTTGTATCTTAGCCCTCCTGGAAAAGGCTCCAAGATGCCATGGTGGCGCGATCCGGAAGTCCTTCGGCTGCGCGTAGTCCTTCACCATGAGGTCTCGAGCCTGCAGAACTCCTTGCCTTGGATGCTCGAAGAGGCGGAAATTCAGCCCTTGACAGAACAAGAAGAGAAGATTGGCCTCCACGGCGTGCATCCTGGTGGCAGAGTTGGGTTTGATGTGCGATCGACAAGCTCGTCAGCTGCGTCTCATATGGCAGACCTGAGCTTGTACACATCTTTCGCCTCAAGGCCGGCTCAAACGAGGTGGAATGATGCCAGGCAACAGGCCGAACAGCATTTGGAAGAAGTGCAAGATTTGTGCAGAAGCTTCCAGAAGTGGCGTACGGGGCACATGGAATGTCGGTCCTGCTTGGGATATCTTTTGGATGCCTCAGATCGATGCAGACATGGCTTGTTTTGGCCTGAAGATATTGCAGAAGGTGCGTGGGGCGACTTCAATGCCGCAGACCGATTGATCAGAAGGGTCGAAAACGACGCGGGCTCTCCTTATGCAAGCGTCGTCCGAAGGTGCGTCTGGTGCGAGTTCGACCACAACGGCAGGAGCCTGGCCGATAGAAAGCTTCAAGAGAAGGTGTATGCGGGCGTCGTTGCCGTCTTGCAGGAAGAAGTGGCATATTTGGATCCGATGGCTTTGCGATGAGAGAGACAGTTGACAGGGAACAGTCGGGCCGAGATGTGCCGAAAGTCAATGCTGTTTTTGGCGTCTAATCCAAAGTCTTCATCGTGCTTGCTTCGTAGTAAGACGACTGCTGCCACCCAAAATGGAACGCCGCTCTAGAATTGTATGCACCGAGGCTCTTCTCCGAGCTCAGCAGATCGCCTTAGATCTACTCAAGCCGTATAGACATGCCGAAAGACGAAGGAAAGAGCAAGTTTGGGACGTTGGACATTGGATAACGCAGAAATGCACTGGCAACACGCGGTGGCATCCGGAAGGCACCGCGGCGACAGTTGTGCTCAGCATCAGATCTGCCACGAGATGCTGTTCGCAATCGACTGCGGCTCCATAGACAAGAGTAGAAAGCGGTCGCGCGAGCTTCAATGCAGAGAAAACACACGGCGCTGACAAGCTCAAATGACATACCTGACAGCAGCATACCCTCCCAACACCACAAGTCCAACGATCCCAACATTCCACAACGAATTCACCAGCGCCCTCTGCCCTAATGCCCCAAATGCAAGTTCCAAAGTCTTCGCCTCATTGAAATGCGGAAACTCCACCCCCTCTGGCACCTCCCTCTCAAGAAACCTACAAAGCGGTTCCCACCCACTCCCCAACTGATACTCCAAAATCCTCTCCTTGGGCACCTTCTCCCTAATTTCCCTATAATGCTCCCTATACGCCCTCCTCGCATTCCTCATAACAGCCTCTTGACTCTCACACGTCCCAAAAAACACCGCAGTCCAAAGTAATCCCGTCCGAATAATCTTCCCCAACCAAAACGGATCCGTAAATCGAAAGATATAAACAAGCAAAAAATTAAAAGTCCCATCAGTCAAACCTTCACAACTCTTCACCCATTTCTCCTCATCGCGTTCCACCAATAAGATTTTCGCTTCGGGATATGCATCGATTAATTCTTCCCAGAAAACTATACACGGGGCATCGGTCACGGCACTACAATGTCCTAGAACTTGATCGAAAGTTTCGCGACCGATCTTCTCGTTTCGATGGAATTTGGCGCTGAGGGCCGGGATCCAGATGTCGCAGTCCCGAACGTTGAGGAAGATGCTGGAGAAGTGGTAGGGGTTGCTGTAGCCTAGCAGTTTGAAGGCGGAGGCCATGGATAGGGTTCCGGTACGTGAGGGTGCGAGGGAGAGGACTTGCATGGGGACTGTGCGGTGGGAATTCTGGCGGTTGATGTTTTGGCTTGGTTGGAGGATTACGGACCAGGGACCTAGACGGTCGGTGAGGGTGGGTTTGGACATGATGCTTCTCGAGTTTGAGATGTGGCGCTGCTGGTGGCTGCTTGGATTGGGTGCTGGAATTGAAGGAAGTTCAGGAAAGCATGGAGTAGATCGATCGAAGAGCTTAAGACGGGAGGATTGTGCGCTAATGGTCACTCAGCCGCGCCATACGGCCGCCCATCTGTAAATAATATGTTACAATGCAGCTCGTTCAGCCCTACACCTGCGCTTACCTAATGCGCTGCCAAAAGCTTACTCTGCATGCAAGAGCGGAATACTCTTCCTGCTCGTTTACATCAAGCATACTGAACCAAAAACTTCACACCCTTCCCTGTCCTCTCATAAATAGGTGTCCCTTGCCGACCCCTCCAAGATTTCTGTCCCGCACCTCTCTGATACAAAACGTTCCCAGCATCATGATTCGCATACTCCAAATGACAGTACGGCGTGAAGTCCTCGCCCAGCATCGCCAATCCCAGATAATCGCCCGCTTTCACGGTAGCGTTACTCGTGATATCCACCTTCACAGTATCGAAAACATAGCTCAAATCAGTGCCATTGACACTTTTTGTTCCCATCGCTGTCCATTTATATTCCGGAGCGAGCAGGTCGGAATGCGAAGAAAATTTGAAAACGGTCAGAGCGAGAGGTACAGTCTGGACTTTCGCTCCTGCGATGTTGACGGCGACGGATTTTATGGTTCCGCTTTTCGCGGCGCGCCAGGTTTGGTAGAGATGGAAAGTGTCGGAATCACAGATTGGCGAGTAGGCTGCTTTCGCTGGGCTTCCGTCACCAGCAGACGAAGAAGCGATCGTTGCGGTACCCTTTGTGAAAGTTACGGGGAACTCGGCGTTATCAGAGCAGTCCAGATCTTGGACACTGCCGTCAGCATTGAAGACGAGGGGTTGGAAAATGTGGCCGCCAAATCCTGTTCGTGGGCCCCCTGGGACCGAGGTGGCGTGCCAAACGTATGTGGTCTTTTTGGTGTTCGGATCTGTGAGCGGAAGTACCCCTTCGACTTGCCCGTTGCAGCCGTAGCCTGCGAGAATCTGTCTGGTCCATGGACCTTGGGTGCTTCGACTTCGGTAGAGTAGGGCGAGAGTGCCGTTGCAGTATCCGCAAGTGTTGGCGGCTGCGACGTAGTACCAGCCTTCCCGGTAGAAGAGATCTGGAGCTTCAGCTTGTTGGTCGATGAGGTCGAATTCTGATGACCGGACGGGATAGGACTTGAGGGTTGTGTTGGTGAGATCGGATGTGAGCTCGCTGGCGTGGAGGGTTTGGGAAATTTCTGGCCAGATAGAACCTGCTGTTGGCTCGTTGAAGTTGAGGGCCGAGAAGACGATGTAGCCTGTATTGTTGATTATGGTCGTTGTGAAGTCTGCCGGTTGGAGAGTGGAGAACTGAGGGTCGATAGCTGCTCGTTCCGAGGAAAAAGTGAAAGGTCCCGAGGGAGAGCTTGAAGTTGCAACGAGGTAGCCATTTGGTCCGGCGTCCGCCCAGAGTACGTATTGCTTGCCGTTGTAGACAATGTGTGGTCTGCCGCACCATCCGGCTTCAGAACACACGGCTGCGTTCGCGGAGGCTGGATCGAAGAGGAAGCCATTGTACTGCCAGTTTTCGAGGTCTATCGATGAATACGATTTGATGCCATATGCACCGCTTTTGGTCGAGAAGCTGTTGCCGTAGAGATAATACGAGCCATTAATGTAGTTGACCTTGCTGCCGTAGGCGTCGATCTGATCGCCGTTGGTGTCAAAGAGCAGCCTCCTACTGTTCGTAAATGTAATCTGACCCGCCGAACCCGACTGTGAATTGGGATACGAGCTTTGAGCAAGGCATGAACCAAGAAGGCCGAGACTGATTAACTTGTGAGCCGACATCATGAATGATGAACGAGGGGCGTGAGATGTACAACAGAGTTTGCGATGCCTGCTTTATATTTCATACTCATTTGCTCAGATGTCAGCGATGTTCAGCCAGGGCAACGGCCGAGTCCAACTCCCATCTTCCGCACTAACACCGTCACTCATTGTACCGAAGCAACCGAGAAGCCCTAAGCGCTTGTTCAAGAATGGCAGCTGTTCCTGGATCGATGGCGAGCAATTATACTTGCCAGGCTTTAGCAAATCAGAATGCGAGCATTTGACTAGATCGACCTGGGTATGTGGAGGACCGATCTGGAGTGCATGCGGGGAAAATGGCATCTTGATGCGGCACTTTGTCTGCAGCTGAAAAGTTCGCTCTGGGCTTATTAGCGAGCGGAAGAATCGGTGAATATTCTTTCCTCGTAACAGTGAAAGCCGTGCTATCGGGCGAGACTTCGGTGCTAGATGCACTTCATCTCCACGTCTGAGCGCCGTTCGATGGTCGTGAGAGCAATTGACCGCCATGTGGCTATGAACGTAACATAACTCGCTGTTCTGCCCCAGCATCACTGGATTTGGATGATGCGTGTCTCTACAGCGTCTTACCACATCGGAGTGAAAGTGACTAGGGTCGGACCGCTGAATAACAAGTTTCTATTCGCTATAATCCATGAGGAGCAAGGGTTTGGGGAATACCCACTTTCACTCCGATGTGATCAGACGCTGTATACAAGGGGTATTCGCGTCGCCTTGCGGTGGGTATGACTTTGTCGCAACCTTGTCTCTTCGAGCAATAGGCATTTGCGTGTGTTCTGGAGGCATGTCAAGGAGTTATGGCGTTGCTGCTCCTGATCCAAGACAGGTCAGGCTGCGAATTATATCCAGACGGTCGAAATGTCGGTAACAAGATGTTCATGCAAGACAGCTGCCCTCTGGCGCTCGATCTTCCAGAACTTGTTCTAGACGCAAAAGGAGCTCTCGTAGTCGATGGCTCGAGGTCGATCAAGTCTTTATAGGTGATGCCGGTAGGTAAGGCAGGCTTTAAAGAGTGCTGAGCACCTTGGCGACGTCCTCTCGTGCTTGGTTGAGCTCTTTATCAGTCCCATCCACATGTGCGACTTTGACTTCGCTGTGAAGGCTGAGGAGATCTTTTGCTCGCTTGAGGTCCTGGTCATCGTCATTCTTAACCGGCCCACCATTGGCTTGGGCACCATTATCTGGCCGTTCCGATACCAGTGCAAGTGCTGCGTTTGGGTCCTGCTTCATGTCAGAAAGCTGTGGCTCTCACATGCTAGCGCAGCACATACGCAGACTTGCAAGGACGTCAGATCCGATAGAAAATCGGCGACTTTCATTTTGGCAGTCTCGTTCAGGGTCGATATTATTGATGCAAGGTGTTGTCATGAGACAGCCAGCCGACTCCAGAGTGGTTGAGTGGATGTGGATGTGGGCATGCATCTGCGGGAGCGGCTTGTCGGCTCGGGCTCCGACAACCAAAGGTCAAGAGAAGATCAAACAGTGACTTCTCACCTCTTCCACTTCTCACCTGCTCTGGCAGCAGCACTCATCCGTGTGAGCTTTCTCCACCTGCGCCTCGTCTACCTCTTTCTGCCAACTTCGCTTTCTGCACTTGGACACACCAACACACAAGATGCCGGCCGCGCTCAAGACTGGCGCTGATGCGCGCGCCATGCGTATGACCAAGTATCCAGACATCTTCAACAAGAAAGTTGACATGACCAAGGTCAATCTGCCGGTGATCAAGAAATGGGTGTCGGACGAGATCGCCAAGATCCTCAACAGCGACGACGACGTGGTGACGGAGATGATTTTCACCATTATTGAGGGGTCAAAATCGGTACGCCGGGAATACCACACATCTCTTACACGTGTGCTAACCAGACAACAGCCCAACATCAAGCAGCTTCAGACCGATATCACTGGCTTTCTCGACAAGGACGCCGCGCCATTCTGCCTCGAATTGTGGAAGTTGTGCCTCAGCGCACAGGACAGCCCGAATGGCATCCCGAAAGAGCTGCTTGAGGCGAAGAAGCTGGAGCTCATACAGGAGAGGGTGAGGAAATCTTCTACGCTCTGCATTTGGACACATGGCTGACCACTCCGCAGATTGCAGAAGACAAGGCACGTGAAGAGGCTAGACAACGAGAAGCTGACGAGCGTGAGCGCGAACGTGAGCTAGCACGGGTCCGCGAGCGAGAGCGAGAGCGTGGCCAGCGAGGTAGAGGCGGCAGAGGCGGTCGAGGTCGCGGCCGCGATCGTTCTTCAGACCGACGTCCAATGTCACGCGACTCCCGATCACCACCAAGAAGAGGCGGACGAGACTCGAGAAGCGGCATTGACAGCTACGTGCCCGGCGGAGGCCGCGGTGGACGCGACAATCCTCTTCGACGTCGACGCTCGCCATCATATGGTCGATCGCCATCTCGCTCACGTTCCCCGCCACGTTGGCGCAGACGCCGCAACACCTCGTCCCCCGAGTCTCGATCTCGCTCACCACCTCGGAGGAGGAACAGGTCCAGTAGCAATGGACCGGCTCGGCGTAGATCGCGGTCGCCTCCACCGCGGAGACGCCGCCGATCACCTTCTTACTCTGATGATTCTCGCTCACCTCCAGACAGGCGCCGACGTCGACCATCCCGCTCACGATCACCACCGCGCCGTCGAGCTCGCGACGACAGCTCCCGTTCACGCTCCCGTACACCTGCCTCCAAGCGTCGTAGTCGAGAGTCCGGAGACTTGATGGCTAGCAGGTCCAAGAAGAATGAGTATCGCCTCAGCCGTGAGGGATCAACATACAGTGCAGCATCGGACGGCAAGCGACGTGGTTCGCAATCAAGCGAGCAACCGGCCAACGGCGGCGCAAAGGACGAGGTGAGCAATGGCGCATGATAATCCGCGCATATCATCCTCACAAGTATAGCATAAACAGTATATTGAGATAACGAAGCACGACGAAAATTTCTTATATTCTCTTCTACACAAGTGCAGGCTGACCATAGTAGCGCCAACGCATCCCAAGACACCCTCTTCGCATTTCCAGAGAAGAGCTCCAGAAGAGGCTTGACAACGCCCGTCGAGAGGCTGAAGCAAGATCTCAGCAGCGTCGTGACAGTGGCTTCACCTCCAATGCAGCGACCTGAGCTCGCAATTCACTACTACGGTAAGTTGCATCACTCTCCTTGGCTTGGACATCTTGTGTGGCAACGGCAACGGCAACGGCAAAGGCATCGCAGCGCGCACATTGGAACTATGCATTGCATTGGAGAAAGCTGGAATGGTCCACATTGAGGGCATTGAAGCATCTTCATAACGCAATCGGGTATTGTATGTAATGGTGGTCATGAAGCGTCTTGGGCGCTCAAGATGGAGTAGCGCAGTGACGCACATGACTAGCTGGAGAGTGCTTTCAGTAGGAGTCCTTGAGTCTGAGCTGGAGACTCAATGTGAATGATAACGAGAAAGCACCATGAACATCCACAGAAGCGGAGAGGCAAGTCACTCATCCAAACGTCCCACACACTACCTGTCAATTTTTTCCTTCACTATAAAGCATCGACCTCAATCCTCGCCGCGGTATTAAGCCAAATATTCTCCTTACTTTCCTCGCCGCCCTCATTCCCACGCGTCCCGCTTCCTTTTCCTGTTCTGCCACCCTCATAAACCTCCCCATCCTCTCCTCTCTCTCCCATCCCAAACAGAATCACTTCCCTAGCCCCATCCTCAAAACCACCCTTCAAATCCCGAATTTTCGCCCTAAACACCCTCAACTCTTTGACCTTTCCATCCCACTCCACTCCACAACCTCGCATTCTCTCAAATCCACAACAGAATACAAATCCAAATTTGCACATGCACATATATAAATGGAAACCTGATCTCCATGTTAAAAAAAATCTTCTCTAGAGTCGTCCCCCCAAAACTTCTTCTCCACCCCCAAATCAACCTTTATATATGAAAGAGAAAACAAAAATTCTCATTCATCAGCCGTCTTTTTTGAAACCCCCCCCCCCCCCCCCCCCCCAAACATTCTTTTTCTCGGATTTTGAATCGTGTGCCTGGCGAGAAGAGTCGGGGTACGTAGGAAGGAGGGATAGGTATTCGGAACTCAAAGGTTTTTTTTTTGAGATTTTGAGGAGGATGCTTGAGGAGATAGATGAGTGTTGCTTGAGGGAGGAGATAGGGTATGTTGGACCTTGGGAAGATTTACGGATTTTTGGTTTGTTTGTCTGAAAAGGAAATAATCTCAGTTTCTCGATATGTTTTTTTCCCCTTGGAGTGATATATCAGACTAGAAAATAGAAAAAAAAAACATGTAGCTTATAAAAGAATTATTAGATTGAAACACTCGTCTCGTGCTGGCCTCGTGCTTTATAGATTTTGTCGTGGAATTTTTGATCCTGCTGCTTTTCTGAAGCGGAGACACCAGATTTTTGAAGGCTCGCATTTGCAGCAATGGCATTTCATTTCGTCCTTGAAGGGAGGCAGCGTGAAGGAATTATACCTAGGTTGGGCGCGCATCCAAAAGAGACTGACTCTGTGTAATCGTGGTTTATATTTATTAGTCTTCAGCTGACCTCGCTCGGCCCTTGAAGATAGTTATATGAGGGACCGACGTGAAGTGAGAGACCTGACGAGCGTCTTTTGCATCCAGTCCTGGATCTCTTCGCGCTGCATTGCCGAGCTGTTTTCGTATCTGTTATACTGTCCGTATAACTGGCTGAGCATTACAATCTTCCAACCTATCATCCATCCAACCCCCCCAACTTCTCCATTTCATCATCAATCATTCAATCATCCACCAAAACCGCCTCATCAAAATTCCTAATAAACAAATGATACCACCTAACAACCTTAAAATGATTACTAACCGTAACACTCTCATCAACAGTATGAATCTTCCCCACCCCAGTCTCCTCCTCCTTCACATAACCCGGTCCAAAACGGAAAATATTCTTGGTCAAATTCCAATAGTATCTCGTGTCGGTGTTGCCAGTCATGAGGGCGGGGGCAACGATAGTGTCTTCGCCGTAGAGGGCGCGGATAGTGCCAGAAAGGACGGAGAAGGGGTTGACGGTGTCGATGGCGGTGGGGGTGATGGGTGCTACGCGGAGGGTTGTGTCGGAGGTGGAGAGGGAGATGGCTTTGTAGCCGGCGGATTGGCCGTTGAAAGCGTTGAGGGTGAGGTTGTATTTTTTGGCGATGGGCTGGACGAGGTGGGTGATGTGTGTCCAAACATCCTCAGGTTCTTGACCGAGATTGATGCGGTGATTTACGACTGCAACGGCGGCTTCTGGAAGAGCGTTGGTTTTCGTGCCGCCTTTGATCAAGTCCACGGCTTGAGAGGTCTGCATTAGATATTGAGACTCCTTGCTGATCTTGGCGGCTTCCTGGGCAATTTTGTCTTTGTGTTTGGCGGCACAGGTCTCCTTGCCTTCAGACCGTTCACCGAGGAGTTTCTTCAACTTCTTTGGGAAGTCCGGAGAGTATTCGGCTCCGCATTGGAGGAAACCGTAGAATGGGTTATCTTTCGCTAGGAAAGTCGGGTACTGCTGACTCTCGATGGACGTGATGATCTCCGCCAATATCCCAATACTCGTGTGATCGCTCGGAATAGAAGAATGCCCGCCCGGCGTTCTCACCGTAATACTCACATCCGTATACCCCTTCTCAGCAACCCCAGGAGTCGCATACCCCCTCCCAAAAGCCATCTGCCACCCCATCCCCTCATCCACAATAGCCGCAACCCCATCCTCCCCATACCTTTCAAAAAGAAACTCCGAAAGATGACCCGCACCTTGTCTCCCACTACACTCCTCATCAAACCCAAAAGCCAAAACAACCGTGCGACTAGGCCGAAACTCCGCCTCCAACAGTCCCTCCAAAGTCTCCAAAATCCCAATCAAAGAATTCTTGCAATCGGAAGCTCCTCGCCCCCAGATTTTCTCTCCATCGTAGTACCCCGACCAAGGAGGATGTGTCCAGCTATCCAGCGTATCCATATCCACAGGCACAGTATCCTGATGCGCCATCAAAACAATCGGCTTCCTCTTCCCATCATCACTCCCAGTCCACGTATAGAGCAGACCGTGCGTATTCACCTTCTCGACTTTGAGCTGCGTGTGGATGAGAGGGAAGGTTTTGGCGAGGTAGTTGTGGAAAGGGTAGAAGACGTCCCATCTTGCATCTTCCCCGATTTTGCCTAGATCGTCGAAGGATTCGGTTTTTATCTGTACGGCTCCTGAGAGTCTAGAGATTGAAGCATTCTGGAAGGTTTCTGTGAAGAGGAAGTCGTAGGCTTGTTTGAGCTTTTCGGTTTGTGAGGATGGGAAGAGGGCGGGGACTTGTTGGCACGCTTTCTGCTTCTTTCCGTGTTGCTGAGGGTGGCTAGTCAAGTCTGGGAGGAGCTGGGAGAACCATGTGATGCAGAGAATGAAAGTGAGGCAGGTCAAAATTATCATGCGAATGGGAGCTGTCCTGGGAGCGTGGTGCTCGGTAGCTATGGGGAGGAACTTCTCCATTGTGACGGTGGAGGTGGATGCAGATGACAGAGAGTCAAGGGATATCAATTGAGAATAGAAAACATACCAATGCCGTGTTCGCTGTTGCCGCTGCCGCTGCCGCTGCCGCTGCCGCCTGCCCTATCTGGATGATGTGTTCGCGAGAGGTGGGATGTTTGAGCGCGGGCAAGCTTGCCAGCTTGGCCTTGGCCGAGCTCCGAAATCCTTCGCTGGCTTGTGCAGTGAGACGGCCACCATATTATCAGATGCTAGCAATGGACGCATGGAACTTTTGACGAGCGTGCTCATTACGGCATTTCGAAGAGTCAACGCTCTTCTCTTCCTGATGTACATTTCTACATGCACGACGTTTCCTTCCAAGAGCTCGACCACGTCTATTTCGGCGAGCGATTCGAAAGGCTTTCCTCGCCTCAGCACTCGTACAGGCCATGCGAATCCAAAATACATGTCGAGAGACACTGTCTCGCGACCAATATGCATTCATTCATGCAATCCAACATTATCGTTCAATCATGTCGATGTTGCAGCTCACGCTTCGCCTTCTCGCACATTGTTGTACGGCGGACAATGTTCCTGCCACTGACTTGCTTCCCTAGAACTGTGCCTGTTTCGACTTGACATCCACCCCTTCGCCCGCAAGGCCTTTCGCGAAAGCGTCTTTGAGGTCCTCAGCAGGCTCCTCCGCAGGTTCCCCCTCCTCCTTTTTGGCGACTTCTTTCTTGACCAACTGCTCGGCCAACATGTCTTCGACCATTTTCTCGCCTTGCTTCTCGACTTGCGAAGATTCCGCGGCAGTGGCGCCTTCACCAGCAACACGCTCGTCCAGAGCAAGCTTGGACGCTCCAAGCGCGTGGATTTGCTCTTCGATGGTGCCCTTAGTCACGAGGCGAACGACTTCAACCTCGCGAGTCTGGCCGACACGATGAGCACGATTCTCCGCTTGAATGTCATCCTGAGGGTTGAAGCCAGAGTCAAAGATGATGACTTTGTTCGCTGCTGCCAAGTTGATACCAGCGCCACCAGCACGAGTGGATAGCATGAAAACTGGGATTGTCGTGTCATCGGTGAAGGTGTCGATCATCTCTTGTCGATCTGCCATGTTCGTCGAGCCATCCAGTCTCATGAATTTGATGTCGAGAGTCTCCAGCACAGCTTCCAAAATGTCCATTAGCGTGGTGAATTGCGAGAACACAAGTAGCCGATCGCCATTCGCGACATACGCCTCAACAAGCTCCTTGAATTTCTGCACTTTGCCAGAGTCCATCCACTCTTGCTTTTTGAGGGCAAAGCGCTTTGCAAGGGCGGGATGTCCGTAGGCAAAGGTGTGCAGGCCAAAATCACCGCCTTTCAACGACCCCGCTGCATCGCCATTGATGTAGCTTCGAATTTTTTCAGGTGTGTTCTCGCCAAAGTCCTCGGTCTTCTTGAGAGCAGCAACCATCTTGTCGATCTTTTTGTCATCGTAGATTCGACGGGAGAGCAATGGATGAATAGCCGCTTTGCGAAGAGCCATGATAACATTCGAGCTGCCATTCTTCGCGTTCTTCTTTGCACCAGGCATGCTCTTCTCAGCAAAGAAGCGCTGAGCGTCCTCCAGTACCTGAGCGTAGTAGTCAGCTTGAGAGTCCGTCATGTCGCAGTACTCCACTCGCGACTCCTTCTTGGGTAGATCAAGCACTTGCTGCTTCTTTCGTCGCAGGATAAAGGGTGTCATCATCGATCGTGCTCGAGAGATACGGTCGCTGGATAGCAGCGCAGCATGCGAGGTGTCTTTTGTGCTAGCCTTATGCTTGAAGAGGAAGTCGAGGTCGTCACGCTTCTCCTCGAACATCTTCGGCATGATGAAGGCCAGGATGGCGATCAGCTCTTGCAAGTTGTTCTGTAGCGGTGTGCCCGTAAGCAAGACCTTGAAGTCCGCGCCGATACGGGTGAGCTGGGAGTAACGGTCCGATTTTGGGTTACGAAGCATGTGCGCTTCATCGTATACACAGACCGACCATGGACCTTGATTTCGCAAGAATCTATTGTCGTCCTTCTTGACCGCCATGTCATAGGTCGTAACGATAACATCGATCGAAGCCCAGTCTTCCTGTATGGAATACTGAAGCTCTGCTCGTTCGCTTTGAGCGCCGTAATATGGTCGGACATGCAGATTGGGGGCGAAGCGTTCAAACTCTCGCAGCCAGTTCTCGAGCGTTGATCCCGGGACGATGATCAGGTGAACACCATCCACGTCTTGCTGCTGCAAATGTGACAGGAAGCCGATGATTTGGCAGGTCTTCCCAAGACCCATATCATCTGCTAGAATGCAGGACAGCTTCCTCTTGAAAAGCATGTACAGCCAATTCAGACCCACGAGCTGGTAATCCTTCATGGTCATATCAGTGCTCATATTCTTCGGCTGCTCGATCCAGTCTTTGGATTTTGGCTTCTGCGGACCATTGTCGTCTGCCGTCGAGCTAGCAGGAGTGCCGATCCCGGAGTCGTGCGCTTCTTCGAGCTTTGTAAGCTGAAGCTCGCCATCCATCTCTCCTACACCCCAGCCTTTGAGGGCTTCACGTAGAGGTTGCGCGAGTGTCTCGCATCTAACAACAAGTTCGTCCACAGCATCGTAACCAGACATAACCTCCATACACTCTTCGACAAGTTGTTCGCCAACAGCTTTAGACTTCTTCGACTTCTTTCCAGTTTTTGTTAACGTCTCTTGAACAATTTCTCGTACTTCGTGTAAGGTGTTGAATGGCCGTTTCTCCAGAACAAATTGGATCATCTCTTGAGGTTTCGCGGTCAATTCTGCCAGATCGTGGATGGTGCACTCATTCAGCATCTTAAGCAGTCGTTCCTCGCGCATCTCCTGCACTTGTTCGGTTAGGATTTCTTGCTCCGAGGACTTAAGTCTAGCATCCTCCTCAAAGTCGCTAGCAGCATCCTCAACAACGCCAGAGTCTCCTTCTCCCTCTTCGCCATCATCTGAATCGACCTCGATAATAGTCTTATTCTGAAGTCGACGCCGCGAGCGAGGAGCAAGTGGCGGAGAAGAGGGTGGTGTAAGCGATGGTTCTCGACCCCGTATTGTCCTGCTCTTCGATAGGACGACATCGTCCTCGTCTTCATCTTCATCGTCGGAGTCTACAATCTTCTTCGCCGGCTTCCTCGAGGCACGATACTTCTCTGCGATAGTTTGCTTGGCACGAATGTCCTGCTTAGCAGCATTGCGAGGAGGTTGCGTCGGGGCTGTCGCAAATTGTTGTGACGTTGACGTAGCCATACCCCTTCTCTGTACAGGACTCTGATTGAAAGGGGAACTCTGATTGAGTGGATCAGGCGATGCTATAGCCCTTTCTTGCACTTCGCACAAATATGCCATAGCGTCATGTACATTGCCTCTTCTAGCCTCCAGCGCTCTTACAATCTGGCTAATTGAGAAGTAGGGAAATGCCGACTGGATCGGCATAACCTTGCTTCGGAGGACGTAGTCTTGTATATCGTGGATGGTGTTGTACTGTGGCATCAGCGTCGGTGACCCAATGGGTATAGCACGTGCTGGTCCAGTCTGTCTCGGTGCGAGTTGCTGCAGCCGCGGCGGCCTCGAGGCACTCCCGTATGCGCTGGCCATGTCATCAGCCGGCCGAGCAGGTCCTACAGGCTGCTTGAAGTTGAACTCAGAAACCATAGCCCTAAAGGGCGTGGTCTTATTGGATGGTGTCTGGCGCGGAGAGTCTCGAATACGCTCTTCCGGACCACGACCAGCTTTCTTGAAATTGGTCGGCTTGAGGTTGGTGCTGAAGCTCTGCTTTGGCTCATCATTACTGTGCTGGACAGGTGGGTCATCATCGCTGTCGTCAAGGTTCACTGGTGTCGGCTTGGGCTGCACATTCGGTGGTCGGCGGAAAGTAGTGCCTGGAGGGGCTATTGCGCGGGCCAGCAGACTGCTTGAAGGCTTTGTAGCCGGTCTCTGCGGCGAGGGTGCAGTAGGCGAGGAGCGCGGAACCTGAACATCCGGACTCGGGCGTATCGGTTGGGTTGGCTGGGTGATGTATGAAGATTGCGAGGGTCGCTGTGGTGGTGCTGACGAGGTGTTGAGATCTGCGTGTAGTTGTGCCGGACTATACTGCAGTTGCCGTTTCTGCGTGTTCGATATGGGCAGCGTTGCGGCAGTCTGGAAGTCGTTCTCGGTGAATTGTTCTCCGTCGTCTTCCTGAGAGTTCCACGCCTTCTGACTACTCAGATCGCTCGTGTGATCCAACTTCCGCCTCTTCACCGGTGTGTCTTCGATCGGGTCAAGTCGGTCCATTGGCACGTAAAAAGTTGGCGTAGTCAGTGCTGTGAGTGAGGCCGCTGCTGCGTCGCCGAAAGTGAGGGCTGGACAAAGCGCAGATGCGGTATATGCAAACTTTATTTGCCTGAACTGTCGTCGTATAGGGTCGGTATCCGGTACAGAAAACAAAGCGCCGCCCGATGTGTATTTGCAAAGCAGTGGTTACCGGGACGTACGGCCGCAAATGCGCAGTTGAGAGGGCTGAAGTGAAGAAGTCGCTTGCAGGGCAGGACAAGGTTGACCAAGCTTTGGAATGAGCCAGGGTCCAGCCAGAACACTAGAATAGCCACCCATCAACAGCCAGCCTCGAACAAAGATCGTCGCCAACAACAATTATCTCACTTTTATCCGGACAATCATGGCAACACGAAGAATCAACACCTCAGAAAAGACACATCTAGACCAAGATGAGACGAGAGCGGAAGTCAAGTCCGACATCTCTCCCGCCGTTCCTTCGTACGTCCATCTACACATATCACCCAGACGCAAACGACATCATGCTAATCGTCGATCACCAGGTCCGTCCTCTACAAACTGCTCGGCTTCACATTCGCCATGATCACATTCCCAATTGGAAGCTATTTTCTGACGCGACATACAATATTTGGCGGTACATTGAAAGCTCTTCCCCATGAATTGGATTCGTTGCCTTACTAACATCATTCTTCAGGCAACGCGACATATGCTGGAGGTTTGGCGGCTCTGGTGGCCAATGTCGTTCTGATCTCGTATGTTGTTGTGGCTTTCAAGGATGATCAGAGCGAAAGGGAAGCCGATGAAGCTTCCAAGAAGAAGGAGCGGTAATGACGAACGTGGATATCGAATTAGTCGTTGCTTTGCGGGACTTCAGACATATACTGAAGTTCGTACGTGATAGGCATTACTTGGCGAATGGGCGGGCGGGCACGACCGGAGGCTTCCAAAGTGAGGGCTTCATTCAGTCTTGAACACGATCTACTCTGGCTTGAGCTTAGCAGGTTAGCAGGACGTGATATCTGCATCTCATGAAAAGGCACGTGTCCTTGCAGCAGTCTGCACTGCCAATCTGGCGCCAGTCTGCTCCCCTGCGGATGTCCGTCCGGTCATATGCAGACACGGAACTTCACAGTTTGGTAGAACTGTGCAGCTCTCATAGCAGGGAAGAAGTGGTCGAGCCCTAAACGGAACGCAAGGCAATCTTCATATATGCCAAATCGGCTCTCTTACTTCTCTCAAATAAGACCAAGCTACACGGCAACAAAGTAGATCTGCTCATCCATCTACTACAAGCTGTGTACCAATCGTAGCCAAGTCGCGCTGCGAGAAGCCGCCTCCTTGTTCTGAACTCCTCCCTCTCCAAAGCGTCGCCCAATCTCAAGCCTTCTCTGACCAAGCATGAACCGCCATTGAATATATGCAAAAGAATATAAGTCCTGCTTCGCGGCGGCTCTGCTCTCCCGTCTTTGGTTGTTTCTGGCTTGCTTTCCTTCCATAAATCCATTACTCATTACATTATGTGCAGTCGAAAAGAAGCGAACGCAGCATGGTTCCGCCAGAAGTCCCGTGAAGAATGACCGTCCAGGGGG